GGACATGATGGTGAAGGACAGCAAGGGACAACGAGGGGACGTGAGGGACAGCGGAGGGGTATCGAGAGGACACGAGGGGAGTGACACTTGTTGCTCCGCCCCTCCCTTGTTGGCCTCTCCCGTGGCCCTGCCCCTCCGTGGCCCCACCCCTCCGTGGCCCCGCCCCTCACTTGTTGGCCCTGCCTAGCTTCTTGCGGATCTCGTCCATCTCGTGGTTCTTGTCGTTGACCTCGGACTTCTTGGCCAGGTGCTGGTTCTTGAGGTCCTGCAGCTGGGCCATGGTCTCGTCGATGATCTTCATGTGGCGCTGCTCCTCCTGGGGACACGGGGACGCGCGTGTCACATGGGGGACGTGGGGACATGGGTGTCACATGGGGGACACGCGTGTCACATGGGGGACGTGGGGACACGGGTGTCATGAGGGGACATGGGCCGTGGTCTTGTCAATGATCTTCATGTGGCGCTGCTCCTCCTAGGGACACGGGGATGCGCGTGTCACATGGGGGACACGTGTGTCACATGGGGGACATGGGGACACATGTGTCACATGGGGGGCATGGGTGTCACATGGGGGACATGGAGACACGGGCGTCATGAGGGGACATGGGCCATGGTCTTCTCGATGATCTTCATGAGCTGCTGCTCCTCCTGGGGACATGAGTGTCATATGGGGGATATGGGGACAGGGGTGTCACATGGGTGATGTGGGGGACATGGGTGTCACATGGGGGTGGTGGGGACATGGGTGTCACACGGGGGACATGGGGACACGGGCGTCATGAGGGGACATGGGCCATGGTCTTGATGATCTTCATGTGCCGCTGCTCCTCCTGGGGACACGAGTGTCCCATGGGGGACATGGGTGTCACACAGGGGACACCGGCATCATGTGGGGACCGCGAGGGGACAGGGGCATCATGTTGGGGACATGGTGACAAGGCATCATGTGGGGACAGCGGTGTCACGTGGGGACGCCGGAGGGAACATGAGGACACGCGTCCTTGCTCTGCACCTTGTCTCCCATGTGTCCCCCGTGTCCCTGTGTGTCCCCCGTGTCCCTGTGCCCATTTCTCCATGGGAGAGACATTCTCATGTGTCCTCGTGTCCCCCATGTCCCCCCTGTGTCCCCGGTGTCCCCATGTCCCCCCCCGTGTCCCTGTCACCTTCTTGGGCTTCTTCATCTCGGCCTCATCCTTGTGCAGCCCCTGCTCCCAGCCCTGCACCTTGTCCCCATGTCCCCGCCATGTCCCATGACCCCCATATCCCCCATACCCCCCGGTGTCCCCATGTCCCCCTCATGTCCCCCATGTCCCCCCCGTGTCCCCGGTGTCCCTGTCACCTTCTGTCACCTTCTTGAGCTTCTCGATCTCGGCCTCATCCTTGTGCAGACCCTGCTCCCAGCCCTGCACCTTGTCTCCA